ATTTGTAGTGATAACTTTACTTAGTTTAAAACTTAAGCATAAAAATTTTTTTTAAGGTAGGCCCACCACGTGGTTTGGTGGAGGATTAAGTACAATTGAAATGCAGAACAATTTTTATGGTCAACTGAGTTTGTCAGAGCGTCAAACTATTGTGCAGCAACGATTGTCCCGACGACCTACTGTAACCGAACCTTCAGAAAGAACACCTAGTAATATTTTTGTATCGAACCTAGTCTCTTCCTCATGCTACCCTCAATCAGAACAAAATGAAAATATTTCCTTACACGGAGATGACATTGATAACAACGATGAGGATTCGTACAAGACTATGGATAGTGGTAGTTCTGATACAGGAGATAGTTCTAGTCAACCTGATACTGAAATACTAGAGACAATGTATAATTATACGAACAATGAAAATATTGGTGATGAGTTCATTCAAGAACATACTCGACGAAACGCCGCTGGATTACAATCGATGGATGCGAATAATAATTTCGAGGATACCTTTAGAACAACTGAAGAATGGGATGGTAATGAACAATGTGATCCTCCTATCATCAATATTATTAGCTCAACAGAATCGACCATTCCATCGGAAGTTTATGAAGGACAAATTTTTCATAACAAAGAAGACTTACAAGCTGCAATTAATGGTTGGTCAATCGCACAAAATGTTCAGTACATAAATTCAACTTCCAATAAAACTCGGCTCACAATTTTATGTAGTCAACATAATAATGTGCATAGGCCCTGCTATTGGCGACTACATGCATCACGAAGTAAAAAATTATGTGGTCTTTGGAAAGTATCATGTGCGGGTCCACCTCATACTTGCACTCAACCTGTTATACCTGGTGGACATCACAATTGCACTTCAAAATTTATATGTAGGCATATCATGCCCATCATAAAACAACAGCTTGACATGAAACCGAAGGAGATAATTGCAAGAATGGAGTCGAAGTTTGAAATGAAGATTTCATACATGAAGGAATGGGATGCACGGAGAAAAGCGATTGAAGCAATATTTGGATCGTATGAGGAATCATATCGTTCTGTCCTACGATTTATGGAAGTGCTACGTATGTCCCAACCAGGTACAGTATATAATGTTGACTTAGTTGGAGGTTCACGATTCAAGGCAATTTTTTGGGCTTTCGGCCCTTCTATTAATGGCTGGCAACATTGTCGGCCGGTCCTTAGCCTTGACGGAACTTTCTTGCTTGGAAAATATCGTGGGACTCTTCTTGCTGCTGTTGGAATTGACGCGAATGGTGGATTATTCCCGTTGGCCTTTGCAATAGTAAAATCAGAAAGCAATGATTCATGGGTTTGGTTCCTTCG